CAACCCTTTTATCCTCGTCTTTCAGGAGAGAGTGCGTGAGTGTTTGTGTGTTACTGCATTCTCCGCAGGGACTATTTCAGTTGAGGGCAAAGAACACAGAGAAACTTTGAAAGAGCTTTTATGTACTTTTGAGTGAAATGATCCTAAGAAAGGCTTTTTATGAAAAAATACTTTTTATTCAGGCTTCCATATCCAGAAGGGCACTTACCCAATTACCAAGCTCCCTTCCTCCCTTTCTACATCCATCAATCCCTCCTCTATTCTTAGGCCTGCATCTGTGTTGTGTGTGGAGGCATTGCCATGGGCTAAGAGCATGAGCTTAGTAGTAGAGAAATGTAGGGCATGTCAGTGAGTATACAGTGAGTCAGCCATTTGTAACCACTTTTTGGCCATATTGTAAGACTTTAAAAGATCATACAACCAGGGGAAAAAAAGCCACCATATTTGATTACTAATCTTCCTAATGTTGATTATTTTTGAAGCAAAAGTTTATTGGCCTCATACTTTTTCTGGATGATTAATTTTTGACTTGAAATTGTTCAGAAAGACCAAAAAAAGATTGCTTTGATATCACACATTGGCAAAGGTAAAATAGGGCATATACAGATAAGGCTGATACTGTATGACAAGCTAAGTGAATGAGAGGTAAACTCATTCTGTCGCCTTCACTTTCGCATCTCAGCTTTCTTTTAACTGCAGCCTTGTCACTCAGTAGCCTGAAAGGCAAGACCTCACACAGGTTTGACAGATAAAAGTCTCCTCACTTCATTGCTGTTTGACATTTTACCTCCCAGTAAAAGTTTCAGCCTCTATCCTCCTTTTTCTTTCTTTCTCTCCTTCCATCTCATAAACACACACACACACACACACACACACACACACACACACACATACTCCCCTCGATGTGAGTCCATCTCCTCTCCTCCTGTCCATCTGCCAGGCAAAATGGAGCCTCAGACAAAGGAGACGGAGGCTAACTCAGTGATCTGAATCAAATGGCAAGAGGAGGAGGGTAGCAGAGGAAAAGAGGAGTGATGGGTGCCAGGGAAGGAGCACGGGAGACGTGGGAGACAGAGGGCTTGGATGGTGAAGGGAGGCATGAGGGGCTAGATGTGAATTTTTTCTGACAGGTTGAAGTCTCCTCTGAGCTGACCCTCTCCCTGCTGGGAGCCATGTCTCCTGGATGTGTGTGGGGTGAGGCAGGATAGAGAAAAGGAGATATAAGAAGGAGCAATGAACTGTGATCATGGAAATGCCATGCTGAATGCAGTAGTGCAGTAGTAGTAATGATCAATGGTAAGCGTGCAGTATATTAATTTGACCAATACCGAAGTACAAACTTCTACAGGAATCTGTCAGTATTAAATTTCCCAGGTTAGGTTAATAACACCATCACTCAGTGTCAAGTAGCTTTATTGGACATAGTGTGACTAGCCATCACTTGTAGTATACTGACAGAAGACACATCTGCTGTCTGGGTCATTTTGAAATTTCATGTACTGAAAAAAGTGTATTGATTTGTAAGAAGTAACACTCCGGCAGGGCAGAGTGGACAAACATGGTGACAAGTGACTTCCAGTGACTCCAGGGTAGAAAGGAAAAAACAAGATGAAGAGGGCAGATCATTGGTTTGAACGTCTGGGGATGCCTGAGTAAGTAAGTGTACAAGAGAGGAGTTAAGAAATTGTGTCATAGTCAGATGGTCGGAGGAGACATTTATACACTGAGTAGGGCGAAGAGAAGTATAGATAGTACAAATACTGATGCATGGATGCCAATTCATTCTAGTGCCGAAACAATTAATCAATTAGTCAGTAAACACAAAATCACATTTTTTTCCAAAAATTCCAAACATCTATTCAATTCAATTCAATTCAATTCAATTCAATTTTATTTTATTTGTATAGTGCCAATTCATAACAGAAGTTATCTCAGGACCATTTTCAAATAGAGTAGGTCTAGACCGAACTCTTTAAAACATCTGTTGATTACCTTCTCAATAATTATTATTTTCTGCTTTTCCCATTTTAATATATTGTAAATTAAATTAATTTGCCAAATAAAATAAACAATTATATTCAATAGACTTTATTCACTTAAGAGTGGTGGAGCATAACAAGACAATAAGATTCAATAAGACTACAGCGACGTTTTACATAAATGCTAATCTTAGCATGCTAAAATACTCACAATGACGATGCTAATATGCTGATATATGCTTTTTCAGGTAATGTTGCTGAACATGCTAACATTTGGTAATTAGCACTAAACACAATGTACCATTTCTGTGAGTTGAGGCTGAGTCAGCTTCTGGGCACCATATATATCTATACCATGGCCACCCACCCAGTAGTTTTACATTACCTGACGTTTTACCTCATGGTGGCACTAGAGATCAATTCAGGGATTTTTTATATAGGTAGGCTTCATCTTCGGGGGCCATGAATATCTGTACAAAATTTCAGGGCAATCCGTTGTGAACCACTGGTGTACAGGAGATTTGTACATTTCGCCACTGGAAAAGACTAGCAGCAAGGTTAAATATGACATAGATTCATGGAAATGTTAAATGGCCAGTGTGTAGGATTTAGTGGAATCAAGTGGTAAAGTTGCACATTACAGCCATTTGAATACAGCTCAACCTTCCAAGCATGGCTGTGGTGTGTGAGAAACTAGGGTGACCACGAAATACCCTATTTAGAGCCAGTGTTTCCTTTTTAATTTGCTCCTTCTGGGCTATTGTGGAAAAATGGTGGTTTGACATGGTGGACACGCTTTCATTGTAGATAATAAAAACAAATTCTAAGCTAACGAACAATGATTCCTATTTAGATGATTATAAACTACTGAAAAAATACCTATGAATACTATTTTATTTATTTATTTATTTAATTTCTGCCAATAGATCCTCCTGAATGGTAAAGCACTGGACCTTTAACATACAGTGTTTGACTGGCAGTTTATCTTGAAAACACAGTGACTGGTGCAGCGTTTCAGTAGATTATCAGATTATTTGAAATACTTTAATACGGACAACACTGAGCTGTTTATGGCGCACACACACACACACACACACACACACACACACACACCTGCAGAACATTAGACAAGAAAATCCTCTCACAGACATATTTATCAAGACACACATTCACCCTGAACGCACACATACATGCATTTATCAAACTCTCATGTTTAAGTGCAAGGTGCTGCTTGAATAAGATTTCTCCTCAGACAGAATTAGCTCAGGTAAGGCGGGAATTGTTACTGTCTGCTTTGTCTCATCTCCATAATGTTTGCATACTCTCAAGTAGGTGGAAATGCAAAATGAAACATAATTATGTTGCGCACCCACTGACAATTGCTCTGTCACCGGGTGCATTAGAAATACAACTGTGTATAGCGTGAAGAAAAGGGGTGGGGACATAAAAGAGAACTTGTGTGGGCCTGGCTCATCTCTCAGACTCTGACAAGGCTACTTACCTGGAGGTTGTAAAAATAAAAAACAGGATAAAATAAATGAGTAATAACTACCACATACACACAACTGCACCCCTAAGCTCATTAGACAAATACACTGTCCGTATCTCATTCCGAGTTCTACCATCCCAACCAAGACGGATCTCTCACCCTGTACAAAGCGCAATTAAACCAGACCAGACAAATGTAGCATGGGGGGTATAATCTTTCTGAATAACCTGGAAAGTCAAGATGATAAGAAAGCTGCCTTTCTTCATAGCTGCAATGCTGGTTCCTTGTAAGGAACTGGGTTGGCCTCTTTCAGCATGTTTACTTGCCGCCAAGTACAAATTAACCTCCCAAGATCAACAATAAACCTAATTAGAGTTGTGTTCTGCAGCACACATCTCTAAACACAGATCACAGCTTGTTGAGAGATGAATCTCCATCTGTCTGGCTGCACACTGGGAGGAGGAGAGACTCAGAAGATCAGTCCCAAGATTCGCAGAATAGAGCTTTGTATGTTTCTGTATGTGTACACAGGGAGAGAGTGAGAGAGGCCCTTGTGGCCACGGGGGTTACTCCCCTATGTCACCCTTTATTTTATGATGTCTTGCTGCAGCAGGGGAGTGGGACATGGCACATGCGAGGAGAACACGCAATTGCATTTGAGCATGTTTGGGGAGGCGGGGGGCGGGGGAGTGTAATGCTAAGGGGTTAGGACAGGAACAGCTCTGCCCTGCCATTTGACACTCACTCCTGGGACTCAGGCAGCCAGACAGGGAGGAACACATTGGTGTGGAAACAGGAGAGTCAATACATCTCACATAGTGAACTGCAGACGCACAGAGTTTAATTTTCCCATGTTCTCTACACTAAAATAAAATACAGTCTCACATTTTGTTTTCATTTCAAACTCAGATTGCCTGTTACAGAAACAGGCACAATGCTTGTTTGTTTGTTTTTTGGACTGTCTACAAGAGATGAAATCCACGAAAAATGTTTCCCTGGTTATCATATTAAATCCTTCAGTATCAAATAATAAACAAATTATTGAATTTCTCCATGGTCTTGTCCTCCAACTTAGGCAGGAAAGATTTTTAGTCACAGGGGAGATTTTAAGGTCTGAAAAATGATTAAAAAGGGCAATTTTTCTGGATATGTATTTTCTGACTGTGTAGTAATTTCCCTAAGCTGCCGTTGGACATGACAGCATTATCACTTTGCCTTTGACACTGTGGAAGATAAAGCAGTGGGGACACCAAGGTCCAAATATGTTGCTTTTATAGGTAGGAGCTGTCCCATTCATCATGTGCTAACACCTAGAGCTCTCTGTAATCCCTGTCCATAAGTCAGCGTGGGGCAGGTATCTTCTGCCCTGCCACAAGGTAAACTGAGGATGTTATTTTAGAGTATCTGGGAAAACAAAAGGTGACAAAGGCTTTAAAAAAATAAGGCTTGATAAAGAAATGTTTGAATACTCCTGCCGTGTGAGTAAGTAAATGCATAAGGACACAAACGCAAGAGAAAAAAGACAAAGCATCTTTCAGAAATCAGTTTATATAACAAAGTGGTTATTATTTAGTATCATATTCCATTACATATTCTATTGAAGGACAGTGTGCATAACCATTTTGCTTTTTTCATGTTCTTAAGGATACAAATAAACTTAAAATGTTACAAATATAAACGTTTCTTAAGACAATAAAACATACTCAATGACAACAAGGAAGGTAGGCAGGGATACGGCAGCTTACACATCATGGTCGAACAGGGTTTGTCAACAGTTATGGCCGCTGTTTGTTGATTCAGCCGCAATTGGTCTTCCACAAATCAATAGTAAGCACTAACAAAGTGGGAAAGAACTGGATATGTGGCAGCTGGAACTATTTACCAAAAGAAATACATTGCAAATAGTTCACTCTGTTAGTGGCAATGTCGTATTCAAACATCTCAAACAACTCTTCCTCTGCTCTGAGGAGAATATCTGGTGAGGTAAAGTGCACAGTCAGTGAGTGTAAGTCACAAACTTTCCTTAATCAAAGCTCTTGCCACCAATCACCACCAAAATGGCACCTTTACAGTTTTGATCAATCTTTCATACCCCTGCCTCCTCATTCTTACAATTACCATGAGCACAAGTCATATCATTAGTTCAGGTTTGTTAGTCACAAGCTAAAAGACAATGGAATGATGGGGCCAAACAGAGAGGCCTGTTTTTCACACTAAAATGGTGGAACAGTTCAGGTTCTTTGACCTGAGACTCTCCTGCTATTTTCTATAAAAACACATTATTCTGGTTATCCTAAAAGATGGATTGAGGGAGAAATACAACAATCACTAACAGGGTTGATGAAGAATGTTGTCATTGTAGAAGTTTCTCTTTTAGAGTAGCGGCTTTTATTAAGAAACTATATTTAAACTTTTATGTTTTGAGCCATTTATCTGTTGAAGGGCAACAAATCTACGTTTTATGTTGCGCCAATTCACAATGCTATTGTTCATAGTGATCAATGCTGCAAGAACAATGTATGATCTGGAACTTCTACAATGGCTAACACCGTACAGTAGCTTACGTTCTACAATGGCATTTTTTTTTTTTACTCCAAATAAAAAACATCTTACAAAAGATGTTTTAGATAGGAAATAACACGTTTTGTAATCACATCAAAATCTCCTACCTTGAATGACAGTTCTTAATTGGATCAATGTCTATTAAACAATGGTTAAAATATATATTTTCTTAAATCAAGTTTTTATGTCTGTACATTTTTTCTCATACTTTGACCAAAAACTTTTACTCCCTTTGATATACAAAACAAAACAAAAAACAGGACTTTTCCACCATTGCGTGGTGAGAACTGCGCTTCCCATATTAAAAAAAAGTTGGCACATATGAAAACAAATCTGATGTGATTAAATAATTAAGAAAATATTTTCAGTCAAATTATTCATAAAAGAAATAGACATTTTATTTGTCAGCCATTGTTTTGGCATGAACAGTAGCCAATCAGAAGGTGTTGATGGGAAAACCGATATATTCAATATTTTAAACTGGCGCTGCAATGTTGAGGACAAAGGGCGAGTCGCGATTAGAAGGAAATCACTACCTTCGATGGCACATCTCTATCTCTGCTGTATACAACACATCCTTAAAACTCCTATCCACGCAGAATCCCTTATGCGGAAACCTCATTCTCTATGCTTTCTCTGTGCGACCACTCAAACCTTATATTCAGAGGAGAATTATTGTCTTCTTAAATATTCAGACTTCTCGGAGCACTGTGGATGCACCTTGAGCCGAGATGATGTGTAAAATTGCATTTTTAGAAGCATGCAAGCTGGGAGAGGAGGCATCATGAAACAGACACATCACAAGCTGCACTGGCAGATTGTTTAAATGAAAAATCTCCATCTATTCAGCCCAGGAGTCAAGCACACTGAATCCTATTTTGCCTGGGTTCCTGTTCCGATTACTGAGCTGGCATGGTGTGCACACACGTACACACACACACACACACACACACGGAGGCCCAAACAAAAACACACACAGCCTAAAGCAGAGTTATAGTATTACTAAAGAACTCGTGTTTTGGTAAAAGGGTCACTTATGCCATTAGTGCTGGGGAACTGGAGGGTGTTTGGAGACTCACTTGCTAAGACAAGCATCATCTCATCTTCTCTATCCCTTAGTTGATTATTTTTAGGAGCATCTGCTTACAGTGTAGGGCAGTGAGGGGACAGGGCCGCCCTAGGCATGAATATATGAATAAATAGTTTATGTGAAGAAACTGTGTGACAGTGGGTCCTTACAGAGGAACAAAGCTAACAGCAAAGTTTCAACTTTATTTTACACGAGCACCAAGCAATCAGGTGTTTGTTTCAATGCTGAAAGCTTCATCGAGTGAACGAGGTTAGTGAAAACAGATGTCAAGTATTTAGTTATGACTTCTTGCTTCCCTACTGGAAACAATGTCTTTTTAATACAATATTACAGTTTGTAGTCCTAAATCCCTTCAATGTTTAAGCCATGGATTCCCTCAGTAGAAGTTTTTTTTTTTTTTTAACGTATGAACAATTTGGTTCCATAATATAAAAATAGCAGTTGAATCCACATGACACTGTTTTCCTTGTTTTTCCTACAGACCTTGTTTTTATTCATCCATTTTTTTTTTTTTTAAATTGGAAAAAGTGGAGCAAACTTTTCACCATTGGTCTCCAAACAGAACTGACTTCTTTTTAGCGCCTTCATATAAAAAAAAACAACACACAGATTAGATTAATATTAAAAAACGTTGCAACACCTTTGTATAGTCAAGCTTCCCCCGTGAAAACCTGTGTGACTGCAGGAAAGGTCAAAGGGTCATGTTAGCTCCACTAGGCAGTTATGTGCATTTAGTAAATGTGTCAGTCTCTCGCGCTAACAGCAGAAGCGACCTTGGGACAGAGATCAGCACCCTGAAGGCATTGGTTAGATATTACACAACTAAAAATAAAAATGCATCCTGTCAAAATGGAGACTACACTCAAGATCCGTGAGTCACATGCTGTGACATATAGGCGCAGACAGGGGCCAACTCTTGTGGCTTTGCGGGATATGGAATAAAATAAAATGATTCACGTGGACTCTTGATGTCGGTTGAAGGAGGGATTGACAGACAAAAACAAACAAAAACATTTTTAAGCCATCACTCCCGCTTCTGTTCAGAGTTTGGTGACTTGTTCAAGCAAACGTCAGCAGGTAGTTACATGCCAACATGGGTGTTGAATCCCTGTCTTCCATTTATTTAAAGGACAGCTGGCCCGCTGCCCCTCTGTTGAATGTACTGTGTGGTATGTTTGTCAGGATGATAAGCATACACTATGGTACAGTCTCTCTTGGCAGAATGTCTATTTTCAGCACGCACTGCATGTTAACTGTAGTATTCTGATTACTGTAGTAGAAGGCTTAGACTTGCAATAATCAAAATGGATTTCCAAGCAATGAAAACCTTTCATTTCAAACAGCAGCAGCCTTAAAAACATTATTTTTTTCATTTCATTACTTTTTATAAATCAGACTATCTAGAGAGGACGTGAACATTTAGAGTGATGAGAAAGTATTGAATAAATATGTAAGGCGTCAGACGAACAGCATGAACATTGACAAATGTCTGTTTGTGATGTACTGTAGATTCTTCAGCTCTGTGTGGCTTCTTTAGGCATTTTTGTTTCATACTTGGTGCTGTGTGTGTGTGTGTGTGTGTGTGTGTGTGTGTGTGTGTGTGTGTGTGTGTGTGTGTGTGCGTGCGTGCGTGCCACAGTGAGGGGTGGTCTATCCCTCCTTCAGATGTCTTCCAGGTCACCTCGCAGGCCTCTTTGGCACTTATCTAGCGTCTTATGGTAGGCGCGGGTGATCATCGAGCTTGGTGATTTGCGTTGTGGCGGGAACGAGACCTTTCCAGGACTGCGCGGCGGTTGTCTGTTCAGAGGAAGAAAAAAGAAAAGACAAAAAAAGAAAGAATCAGAAATGGCGAGTGAGACTGAGAAAGAGCAAGAAAGTGTTGTTACATTGATCCATACTGGCACACAGGAGCTCAAGTAAATGAAAGACTGTATAGAGAAACTAAGTGAGGCAGAGAAAGGAGACAGAGAGGAGAGAAGAAACAACATGAAGCAAATCCAGGCTGATTGAGAGCAGAGCAGCAGGGGAGGACGGAGAAACAGAAGAAGCTGCTGGAGTTGAGGTGCTTGTGTCTGGTGTCATAGTAACTCCATTCAGCTCCTGATCCAGGCTTCCACTCAAGAGCCCCTCAACTGCTCTCACATCAGATGCAGCATATGCACAGGAGACAAAGTAAATGCACACAAGCAGGCACACACACAAACAGGAAAAACAAGCAGCGGCTTGTAATAAGACTGTATATAGTTCAACACTTACAGAACACTTGTTTGAGTTATACAATCATTCAGAAAGATTCTTTGTGACATGAAAGGGTACAGCATGTAAGGATACCAAACTTTGATTGAACAATTCTAATATAAACCCAAAAAACGCAGATACAATTAAATCAGAAGTAAAAAGTGTATAAAATAGTGGCTTCTACAACGCCGGTGGTTGGTGGCACTGAATGGTCAGAAAGCGAGGCCAGTATCACTTTGGGTTTTCTCAGTTGCCAGTTCTATGACAGAGTCATACAAACACTGCCTCCCATGCTATCCAACCATGTCTGCCCAGAAATGCCCATGGCATCCGTCGGGCAGCCAGGTGGCAGGTGGGGCTGGACTGAACCAGGAAGCATAGCCATGGTGATGACTGCAGGCACACCCACACAGGACTCCCTGGTGTTTCCAAGCGTGCCGCCACCACTATGCCCATTACTCAGTGCCAGCTGTAGGGTGCCAGGCATCCCGGGTTGGGCGTTGTTTAATGGCACTCTCTCCATCCATCATGTCAGGTAATGAGCTGAGAGTGACTGTGATGGCTAGGAACACATACACAAACATGTACACACACACACACACACACACACACACACACACACACACACACACACACACACACACACACACACACACACACACACACACACACACACAGAGACTCCCACCATCGGAGTAGAGAACAGAGCAGCACTCCTTCAGATTGGATACAAAGCATCATGCAGATGGTGCACAGGAGGAGAGAAAGGGAGAAAGAGGGAGGGAAGGAACAGAAAGGAAGACAGATCGAGATGTTTAAAACAAGGAGATGAAAGGTTCTGTATTCTCTGTTCAGTTAAACGTACGTTCAAATACAGTAAATTATCGTTAAAGCTAACATGTTTGTGCAGTGCGTCCAAAAACGTCATTACCACTTATCCATGCACTGATTGTTACATCCACAGGTGCTTCGGTCTGTAAGCAGGACTTATACAACCTCCCTCCTTTCAAAACAAACTTCAATAGTACACAAAGAAAAAATGGGGACAGAACTGGGGAAAAAAGTAGATCATACATAATCTACCCTTGCCAATCATTTGCAAACCCAATTGCTGTAACCTCATTTCTGGGCAAGCAGTCCCCTTTGCCCCTCCGTTTTTCAAAGGAGCATAAAAAACAGATCTGGGAGAATACAGACCCTTTATCTCTAATGGGGTAGGGGGGGTCATCTCGGGCTACATCTATTACTGTAAATAGGATGGGGAAAAGAAGCCAGCAGAAAAGATCAAAGAGAAGACTTTACAAAAAATACATGAATTAGGAGACAAGTTAAATCATAAAAGACAAAAAGCATAACAAAAGACATAAAAGACTGGAACAATCCACACACAGATCTATACAAATTACAACTACTGGGGGTTTGATACTATTTTGTACAACATATAAATTTGATTAACATTATATACTGAATACCCACCATCAAAGCAACCTTTTAAAATATTTTTTATTGCAATATAACAGTGTATGTGGTTTGTATCAAGTGATGTGATTACAGTAACACAACACACACCCAGGGCTCCAGCTCTCCTCACCAATACAGTGCACTTATAGTTAACCTTGGTATTGATTCAACCTACAGGTTCATTGATACTAATATGAGCCCTGTGCACTAAACAAGAAAACATGCTTGTTGGCGCTGTTATTTGAAAAGGAAGCCATTTTGTATGCTGTGTAATCTGAAAACAATGCAGACCATTAGTGAGACCACTTGTTGAAGCCCAATAGGAACAATGCCATAAAGCAGGCCGCTTTTGAACAGAATAACAAATAAATAAAAAAAACTGCCCTTTTGGGTGTTATTGCATCTTGCCCAACTGCCTGAATACACGGGAAAGCCTTCGTCAAAGACTTCGCTATAAAAAAAAAAAAACTTCCAGCAAAATGCATCTCCCATCAGAGGATCCTTGAGCGGAGAGCTATTGGCTTCTCATAAAGACTTTTCTTTTCCTATCTTCAGGTGCATAAAAGCCCATCCTTTCCCACCCCACATCAATCTATCACAACAATTGAACAAACAGCAGCCATTTCTACAGGGAGAGAAACATTACTACTAGCCTCTACAGAATTGAATTCTTCAAGCACACATACACACACATACAGGCAGAGAGGGAAACAAAGTGAGACTGGGGGGGATAAGAGGAAAAGATCCACACAAAAGACAAACTCTACGGCTTTTTTGGAGCACTGATTGTGACTCTACTCGCATTGGTTTTGATGGCTTCTTTACCTGCTTCTCCCAGAGGCAGCATCTTTTCCGAGTTACAGTAGGCGCAACACAGAGGAGCACAAGAACAGGAGAAAGAAATTGACAAAAGAAGAGCAGGTATTCCATGTTACAGCAGGGAGATGTTGGCATACCAGAACTTAATTAAATGCTGGCTGGCAACGTTTCTCAAAATGTTACTAAATGCACAGAGGATTTCAATGAGGGTGGGCAGATGGAGGGGGAAGTCACTGACAAATTCACACACTGTACTGTATCTTTTTCTCTCTCTCTCACTCACACACACACACACACTCACACACTCACACACACACACACACACACACACACACACACACACACACACACACACACACACACACACACACACACACACACACACACACACAGAAGGAAATACATTGTTGTTTAAGTGTTCAAGCGGGGCACAGAGAAACAGCACAGTGCATTGCTTTGAGGAAATCACACACACCCTCCCCCCCTCTGTTTCTAAAACACACAAGCGTATCCTTGCATGTATATCATGATGATCCCTGCCACAAGGGAAAGGCTCGGAATAAGACAAGGGTAATAGGAGGAGAGGACGCCAAGATTACTAAACAGCTACAGCATAGGCCTTAAGCCGGCGCAGTCAACTCCAACCTTCTCCTGACTCTTTGGATGGCCTCCAGTGAGTTGTCATTTCATGTTATGATAGACGATAGTTTCCCCAGTGGATCCCCCAAAAGAGATTAAGTATCATAATGACTTTTGTGTTACTGTCGTCTTTGGCTAATTACGTGGAATTACATCATGATAAGGCTCTATGATCCGCAAAAGAAGGAAAAGCTGCCAGTCATCTATCAAACGCTTTCAGCATGGGATACTTTGAGGAATTACTTTTCGTGGCCAGTATAAACAGGAAACCTTTTGGAAGGATTATGCTGTGTTAAATATCGTCTGGGCAGAACAAGACTCTGGGCCAAAACCTAAACATGGTACGCACATTCATCAAGGCCACGATAACAAGGTCAGGATCACATAATCACCAATCATGTGTGCAAATAGCTGCAGAAGGCAAACAGGATGCATCATAAAGCAGGACTACAGCAGCATCTATTGTAGAATATCTTTGAAAAAAAAAACATGTATTCGCTGTCTTTTGTGCTAAACAAGTGAGCAACGACATGATTTCTCTGACATGTCACCGCCTTTGTCTAATTCTCTCTCCGAGTAGCTCTGCACTTCATATTTTGATGAGATAAAACATAATAAAGGTGATTAAATCTCTTCTGCACATCAACATGTTGTGTTTGCTTCTATGTCGAAGGGGAGAGCGTCTGCAGCACCAGCAACAGCAGCAGCCGCAACCTTCTATCACCTCTTTTCATCTCCTCCACCTCCCTTTCCCCCCTTCCCCTCTGCCAGCCTCCAAGCTACAGAGTAATGGAACTCCCTACACAGAAACAAGATACGGTGTATAAATGGGATGCAGAGGGAGAGAAGCTATTTCTTCCTACTGAAAGTTATGGGCCGGGTATCGCAAAACTACAGTCGTGGCAAACACAGCCCCTCGTTCACTGGTAAGAGTAATCACCCCAAACAAGGAGCAGGGGAGGAGAAAAAATAGTGCCACTGAAGAAAAGATGAGTTCAGTTGTGGAGAGCTGGAAAAAAGAACAGGGGAGAAGGGTGATAGGATGGTGGGTCAAAGAAGAAAGAGTGTCAGTCACCCTTTTTTATCTGATGTTACAAGTCACTCATTGATTTATTAGAAGGAGCTGAAATGTATACAAACCAATGCATGGTAGAAGATCAAAGGATTACAAGCCCAGCATGCTTTCTCTCAGATACCGCTCTATATATGCTAGGCTCGATTCTTTTCGTTTTTGTCTTTTTTTTTTTTTTTTTTTTACAGAAGAATGTCTAGGTTTTCAGAAAAGAGCAGTTTGATTTAATCCAATATCTGCTGTAATTTTATGTCCACACGAATCCAAAAGTTGTTTTTCCTGCTGCAAGAAGACACTGTTTACAGCAGACAATTGCCATCTTTTGCTTCTGGTGACAAAAAATTTTTTTGTGATAGAGTAAGTAAGTAAACCAACAAACAAGAAGTTGTTAACCCATGTAATGACTGCACTGCAAATTGTATTTTTTTAAATTCTTATCTTCTGTATGAATTTTGCTATGTTTTTACATATTTTTTATATGTATCTATTTATACAGTTAGAGGCACAGTGTACATTAATAGACTTTTCTGTAAATGTGCCAGTTTGGCACATTAGTTGACTTCATAAT